CCCCTTGCAGCTGAATGGGGGCGGGGGTCCCCCCGCCCCTCCTCTCTTGCAGTCACATGGGTCTCTGCTGTGCCTGCCTCAGGCACCACATCAGGATCCCTGGCTGGATCTGGCCCATAGACAGACAACAATGGGTAAAAAGGCAGAGCAGCACTGGCTTAAAATGTGTATGGCAAGGGAAGTAAATAAAAATCATTGGCTTGATTTGTAAGGGTTAAAAGGATGAGGAGTTAATGTGTTGGAGCTCCCTGCTTTTCAGTACCTTTATTTCCTATTCTCAGTTGGTCCCTCCTTTGTTAGATAAGGGGTTCCCTCATTAGCTGCCTTGCTGATTTAGTTGAATAGTTATCAAAGGTATACAGATGGGTTAATTTATATAGTACAGGCTCTTCATTTTGGATGGAATGAGCTTCATTGCAGTAGATGGTACTTTGAAGGCATGTTCTCGTCACTGTAGTAGTGTGTGATAATATCCAGTTTTCTTCTGATTGAATGTTCTTTAAGAAAACATCTTTTACTGATTTTGTTTGTTTGTTTGTTGGGGCTTTTGTTTAAACAGAAAAAAACCTCACCGGTTCAGTCTCCTCCTGCACCTTCATCTCCACTTACTTCTCCTGATGGGAACAGTGGCAGTACACAGGTACTTAAAGATGGCATTGGCATCGCTGGTACAACAGCAGCTGTTATATCCACAGGTAAAATGGAAATGCTGAATATGAAATCACCTCGCCCTTTAAAGAGAAATAATATCATTTTATGCCACCATTATTCATAATTGTAAACATTACTGTAAACCACTATCCTGCTAACATATATTTAAATTGCAGGTCTCCAGATGTACTTAGGTAAGACTGGTATTTAATGCATGCATTGTAAGAAGACAGCACCAAGACATCAGCAATTTGATGCCTAAATAGCATAACGCTTGGTGTGTGAATCAGAAAGTCCATTGCTTTCAGTTTTCTGCAATAGTCTAGCATCTGCTGGTGATGAGAAGAAAAAAGGCATAATAAAAGTGTGTCCTTATTTCCATCTCAATCATGAGCAAACTTTACTGGAAATAGCTGTCCTCAAAAGACTACCTAATACCCCATTACACTCCAGAGAACACAGAACTATGTCTTAAAGGTGTGGTTTTCTGCATATATTTTTATTGAAAGAAGCCATCTAGGAGAAGTGGGCTAAGTTAAGGTAAGCAGGAGAAGTAGACCTCATTAAAAAAAAAAAAAAAAAGACTTTGAACCATATTATCAAATGGGTGATAGAAAAGAAAAAAACTTGTTAGCTAAATAGGCCTCAAATGTGTATATTGTTGGTCAAATTCTGAACATCTACTAAGTATCCAAAATAGGAGTAGGTAAAGTACTACCATTTTAAGTTGCATTTACAAAAGAAACTGTTTCCTTTTTCGCCTTTCCCTTTCCTTAACTCCTGCTTCACAGTGGGCACATCTACACGTGCATTAATGTGCAGTGGTTACTGCACATTTAGTTACTACCTGTTATTGCCAGGTAATAACAGGTACTACTAACTAAATGTGCAGTAACTGGTGCTACTGCGCAGTAGTGCCGGCGCACACATTTTAGGTGATGCTATTGCGCAGTAGACTAATTCTGTGCATTAGCACATTAGCATGGGTTTTGCCTGTCACACTAATGCACAGTAGAATTAGTCTCCCCTTGAAATGTCTTTTGCAGACATTCCCAGTTAGCATCAAGGCAGAGGTAAGCATGTAACAGTCAAATGATCTGTCATATTTACAAACATTCTTCAGCCCGAGTGAGAGGATTTTTTTTTTAAAAAGGAAATATTTTATAGATTGCTATATTTCTCTGCACCACCATGGCTGTGCTTCCTGCAACTTCTGATGTCAAAAAGCAAATAGATAGGAATGTAGAATTTGGGATCATTAAAATTGTTTTTACATATTTCAATCACTTTAAAAATCCAAATTTCATTTAAACCCCCAAAAAATGCCATAGTTCAACAAGGCAGATTTCTTTCATATTAACTTTTATGCCTGCTCTGAACAGTAGAACAGTGTGTTATTAAGTCATGATAAATACAAAAAGAAAAATCCTGGTCTCCTTGTAGTCAGTGGCAAAACTCCTATTGACTTCAGCATCATCAGCATTCCACCACTTTTTTTGTCTTGTTGGTTAACTTACGTAGCCTAATGGCTGTGATAGCTCTATCTCCCTTGAGTGAACAGTTGCTTTTTGTTGTGGCTTCTGTTGTGCTTGTTCATTTTGCAGAATATGTCTTCATAAAAATGTATTTGACTGCTGTTTTGGTAGATTTTAACTCTAAAGTTCCATATGTTATTTACAGAGTAATGCAGTTTAGTTTAGGTCTTCCTTTTCTACCGTGTGCTTCTATAGTTCAGAGCATCTATCAGTTGACTTTAGTGTTATGAAGTCTTCCTCTGGGCAAGTGTCAGCAGCAAATACAAATACAGGCTGGGAATATTTTGTGGTGGTGAGGTAGGAGGGTTTTAAACACAGGGCAGGTTGAAAAAGAAAGGAATTTGGACTTACGTGGCTGGCAGCTAGGTTGGGTGGTGATTGTCTTGGGGTTTGGCACCACCATTCACTTAGTCTTATAGGAAGCTATATTTGCTGTTTTAAATGTAAAAGCATTAAAGGGACAAGCTGCATGGTGCTTCCTGTGGAAGTGAATACTTTATGTACAACACACACTGGGGGTATTTTTCACACTGTGGAGCACTGCATTGATGCTTTGTCAGGCATCACTGTGCACACAGTTCAACAAATTCTAGGGGTTGGCAAAGAACATTGACCATAGAGTTAAACTAAGTTATGCAGAAGAGGATCAAAAGGGGTACTTGGTGATAACTGCAGCAGAAAGCATATTAATTGAATGCAAATGTTCAAGTGTGGGGCAAGGAAGGCTTGTGCAGTTGACAGTTTTGATAGCTGGTCAAAATTCTGGTCTCCTTGCAATGTCAGGCTTGGCTGATCTATTACTGCATTACAACTTCCATTGTTAACTATTGACAAATCCTGATGTTAGGGAAAGGTTAGGTATTTATTGTATCAGTTAAACTGAACAATATGCTTTTCAGTAAAAGCCAAACTTGTGAAAATATTTAGTTCTTGAGTATATTGACTGTGCCTGAAGCAGGCAGATTCCATGGTAAAATATGGCTTGTAATTTTTCAGTTTGCGTGTATGTTAACAAGCATGGAAACGCTGGACCTCACCTGGATAAGAAGAAAGTTCAGCAACTTCCAGATCACTTTGGACCAGGTCCTGTAAATGTGGTACTTCAGCAGGCTGTGCAGGCCTGTGTAGACTGTGCCTGTCAATCCAAAACAGTCTTTGGATTCCTGAAGTCAGGGCATCATGGAGGGGAGATGATAAACGGTATGCAGCTAACATTTTTATATTGTTTTTGTAAATCTTTAAGCACAGCTAAGACTACTCAATTGTGGCTGCCTTTAATGCCCGAGAATCTAAAGTCAGCACTTAATTTGCATCTTAATGCAGGGTTCAAAATGATTAAACTAGTTTTCTTAATTTGAATTTAGCAATAAGAATGTTAAATTACATATACCATACAGCACAGTTAAATTCTTATTACAAAGTAGAACTTCTGTGCACCTCATTAAACAGCCATAGCCAAACATTTGTCAAGGAAGTTCAGTGCAAGTTAAATTTCAGCATTATTAATTCAAGTGACTCACATAATCTTATCCATACGCACTGTTTGTGTTCTTGATGCTTTAACCAAGTGGGTGAAAAGTTTCAAACCAATCTGTTTAGGTTCCAGATAACTGGTTCCATATGTGTTAAGCAAAGCTACCAGTGCCACTTTTATTTTCCATACATATATTCTAGCAATGTCTTATGGTCAGTATTCAAACACCTATGTCCTGTTTTATGGAATAGGTTTATTTCCGCTACACACTGATGGCAGCTCTGCAGATAAATTATTCCTATAGCTCAAGCTCAATAGCTACTGCTTGACAGAGTTTTTCTTATGGGTTAGGCAATTTTCTGTACAGTAGTTAACATATCAATTCATAATTCCATCATGGGCAGTAAAAATGGTTTGCCTTACTTTAATTTTTCTACATTAACACCAGATGTGAAAGATGATTAGTGGGATACCAGTTTAATTAAACCCTCATAAAAGATTGTTCTGCCCTACCGTATTAAAATATCCTTACCCGCATGTAGCAGAATTTTGCTAATCTTTGTGCTCAGCTTGAACACAAGTATGCTCACGAAAATGGAGGCTCTTGTTACTTCTCAGTAAAAATATGAATAGCTGTCTGCAAGTGAGGTTCTGAAACTATGACGTCTTTATTTGTACAAATTATAAGCAGAAATTACTAGCATAGTGTCATAAATAAAGCAAGCAACTGTCAGATTACATGAACAAAGTATATTTTGCAATGTGCATTATTTTATATTTTTATTATTATTATAAGGGCTAAATCATGCCCCAATTGGTATGTAGGATTAATGGGTATGAATAATGCTGGGTGGAGAACAGTAATTTTGTTTCACAGAGGATTAAAAGATTTTCAGTTTGGTTTTATTCAGACTTGGAACAAAACTCAAAAACACAGATGTGTGGTTTGAAAGCGTATCTATCATTAGTTTCCATCCAGCTCTACTGGATAGAATCATTAGTGTTTCCATCCGGCTCTCCCTAGTGTTGTGGCAGTATTTTAGATTGGATAGGCTTGAATCTGCAAACCTGTACTGCTGGTGATCTGGGGTTCCTGAAAGTCCTGGCTAATCAGGAGCCCGCAAGTCTGAAAGTTTGGGAAGTTGGCTTCCAGCTAACTATGTGGGATACTGAGGGGTCAGGTGAGTAAGATGTCATATTTTAAACCCTACCTAATTTCCAGGGGCTTTTCTTCAACATTGTTGTTTGTGAAGCATAGACACTTTCTTCTTTATGCAGAATTTGCCTATCAAAGTTGCGCCAAAATGCTTATGACCATCTCCAAATGGAAACACTAAAAAGCAGAACTTGTGTAGTAAAATGAAATCTCGAAAGGGGCACGTGTAGTCTGAATATTAAGACAAACTTCTTGGTAAAGGAAAGTTCTCCCAAGGGAAATGAGGCAAGCTCCAGTATTTTGGTACTGGTTTGGTTAACTAGAATGAACAAAATACTGGTCAATATAAAAACAGGTTGGACAGCTTTGCAAAATTTGGGCTGAGCAGAGTGAGATATCAGTCCAAAAAAATGAGTAAAAATAATGTGTTTCATTAACTTTATCATAGTACAGATAAAAAAGACTATTCAGAATTGTGAATTTTTGAGACACAAAACTACATCTCCGGAAGAAAACAGTTTTGTGCTAGCAGGGAGATGGGCAATATCCTTGTTAGAAATGTGCAAATAATGGATTTTTTTGGTTCTTCTGCCAAACCACAAAGACAAAGGGGGGAAAAAATCACTCAGATTAAACTAAATTTAAACAAAACAAAACACAAAACCCTTTGTTTTTCTTGCCAGAAAAAAGAAACACCATAGAAAATTGTGTTTGCTCATTGCTAAATGTTCCAGTCATCCTGAAAAGAAATGTTTAATTTTAGGCATGTGTAAGAAAGAAAAGGAATTGAAGGTTTAGATTAATAAAGCTGTCAATGGTGAAAGGTTTCTGTTACCCCTCTTTTACCCAATAACTCAGTTTAAAACACTCAACCAGAATAAGGGCTATCACAGCTCAGTAGGAGATGTTGCTTCAGGTCCCTCAGACAGAGGAGGGAATTGAACCTGAGTCTCCTACCTTCTAGGTAAGTGCTTTAACCCATGAAGTAATGGCTCAGTGCAGACATTCAAAAACCCTGAGGCAAAATCGATCTTAGGCAGTTTTCTGTAAACAGTGTAGTTTAGATGGGTAGCAAACAGAACACACATTTGCCCTTTGATTAGGGGTGCAAATCTTAGACCGAGTTCTGCCATTCTTAAACCAGTTTGTGTGCCCCAACCTTTTGTTCTGATATGGACATAGACCAGGTTTGTGTGCTGAACATCTGTTTTGTTATGAGTATAGACTGGTTTCTGATCACTTATACCAGTAAAAGTATGTCTGTACCTGGCCCATGGGTTAAAAGGGCACAGTTCTGATGCCACTGACATAGTTTTGTAACTCTAGCCTGTTTTTTTTATTTTTTTCATCTGAAACTATTTGGCAAATACAACCTATATTTGCAGATAGTTTGGGTATGACTAAAACCATGTTTTTCAATTAATTTCTTGTTCATTGATAAAACTTCATCCAAAGTTTTGACAAGTTTCTCCAATATCCAGATTCTATGACAATAGCCAGGGATTTATGGAAACCACCAGAAAACTGTCTCAATAAGAACAGGAAAGTTATTGAATATTTTTAAATAATAGTATTTTATGAGGCACAGTGGCTGCCACTGATTCCACAGTCCTCTCATCCCAAGATTGCTGTGACACATTGCAGGGTACAGGGAAGGTTTCTTTTGCCCAGATTATTTATAGATTCCTTAATTGTGGGATTTTACATAGTATCTGCGTTTCTCACACGTTTTCTAGATTTATCTTCAGAAAATGTTGTGAGGTAAAAAAGTATTATTTGTATTTAAAGTGGGAAGCTGGGGCAAGAAAAGTAGTGAATTCATTCAAAAAGAGAGCATATGAATAGACCACAAGACTATCCTGAGAGGCTTTTAATTTTTGTTGGGGTGACTGTGATTTTTGTAGTATTTATGTCAGTAGATCTCTATAACTGATTGAGTGCCCAGTAGAAGCCAACTCCTTGGGATATCCCAAAACAGGAACTAGAGGACTTCATGGGCATGTCCACACATGCAAGCATGTGTGCTTGCAGCAGCTCAAATAGAAGCGGTGCAAATTTGAGCTGGGGATTTTTGCTTCAGTGCACATGCCCAGACATGCACTTTGACTTGGGGCAAGTTGTGCCACTTGGGGCAAAATGACCCTACCTGGCTCCTCCTGGTTCTGCGGCCAGGGGGAGCTAGAGCCCAGGGCCAGCACCTGTGCTGGCCCCAGCAGTATAAAAAGCTGCCCTGGCAAGTCACTTAAAGCTGCTTGCTCTCAGGAACTTCTGGGGCCCAGCAAATGGGTACCTGGGGACACTACCCCTTGTGCTGTAGCAGCCCTGAGAGTTCCCTGCCCCCTTTCCCCGCTGCAGCAGTTTGGCAGTGGGGGCTGCTGCCTGGCTGTGACCTGCTGCCACCTGTGACAGCATGTGGCCCCAAGGCTGTGTACCTGCCAGACCCGGATGGGGATTACACTGCCAGTAGAGGCATCTGCCTCTTCGGGTCAGCTACCAGTGGGCTGTGGCTGCAGAGCTGGCCTTTGTGCAGTACTGCTGCCATGTGTGCATCTGTCTGGCCATCGGGGCAGCTATCACCAGGAAGATGTTCCCAGTGTGATGGCCTGCTTTGAACTGTCAGAAAACTGTCAGGGGAAAAAAAAAGGCCCCGCATTCACCAACTGTAGCAATGGTCATCGGGGCCTTTGAGGCCTTATGGCAGAGCCTGCCCCACCCCCGAGCTGTTAGACAGCGTGGGGCACCACGTGGCACCCTGCCTACACATGCAGCAGCATGGGTGCCAGGTGGATGGGGCAATCCCTGCTGCCCCCTGTGCAGCGCAGCGGGGCTCTACCACGAGGCCCTGATGGCCACTGCTACAGCTGGTGAGTATGGGACTTCTTTTTTTTTTTT